CACTTGTAAGATCTACAACAGGAATAGACTTCTGCACAGAATTTCCTCCAAACAGGGATCTGGCAACACCTATAAACATAAAGTAGATGTCAGTGAAAAAAAATTAGCAGACTGTAGTATCTCTGAGAAAATAACAATCCTAATTAATAAATGTATCACTGAAGCAGTAATTAAATTGATTCCAATTAAAATTATAGAACTGGTATAAGAAATTTGTTTAATGTATGAATACATAAAAATTATATATTCAATTCACATGGTGAACTTATATAAAGAAAAAGCAATCAAACAACAAGCCCACTGATTCATGTTCAATGTAAGGATTAAATACAGTAATGTATTTACTTTAATACCACACACGCTAACCAACCAACCAAACCAACTAATCACTCGTTCCATGGTACAGAGGCTTTCACGAAAAGATTAGAGTATACTCACCTAAGGTCTGTACAAATTACCTGAAATGTCTGCTTAAAAAATAAGCATGTGTCATGTTTGAGGATTATAATTTTGGTACCTTCAACTTTCCCTGAAACTAAATTATGAGCAGATGGAATATTATTTGACAATGATCCCAGTCTGCAATGTAAATAAAGAGAGACAGGTGATATTTCCAAAGGTTAATTTTAAAACACGTTTCAAGTGAGCAGTATGTAGTACCTGAGATCTGAGATCTGAGTTTCTGTCACTGGTGGTAATGTCAATTGTAGTCTTCTGGCTTGGGACACCATGCAGGGCTGTACATGGCTACCAATGTTCCCTCAAAAGGTAGTTACCACACTTCTGATTATTTAAATAAAAGTTATCACTGTGAAAGGATCATACCTACAGCAGATGAGGCTCCAAAGTGTGCCAATGAAAAAACTGGACTGGTGGAATTTGAAGACTGCTGAACAGCAGGACTACTTCCAGACAAAGTGAAAGAGAAGTTCTTCATGGCTGGTGATATGGTGTCACTGGTATCTGCAGGAAAATATTCATTCTTACCTGACCTCTTCCCACACATAAAAACATTCACTATGCAGTCTTTGTAACTTAAAATTGCTAGTATCTGGTGCAAAGTGTTGTTATGAACATACATGGATGCAGCATTAACATAGAGTGGATATATATGGAATGTTTGATAGCTACCGTCACCAGCTCCTTTCTCAGCCAATGGAGACGAAGTCACTTGATCCTGCAAAGTAGCAGTAGTAGAAGATATGTCAGGTGACCTCAGTTCTGCCTGTGCAGAGAAATAATCCAGCATTACACCACCAATTGATGCCTTAAAGTTATGCTTAAAAACAGTCAACACAATGCTCTACATGCTTGTATTTATTGACGTAAATACGTCTATATTTTAGGGTCAGTGTCATTCTGCAAAAGAGAGTGACGAAAATGTGTAAGATGGTTACCTAGGAAACTTCATCTGTTTATCAACAAATAAACAACAATGGTTACCTAGGAAACATCATCTGTTTATCAACAAATTGACAATAATGTTTACCTATAATTCTTATATAAGATAAGTACCTGTGATATTGTAAAACGTTTTTACCAGCACAAAATTATCTACTCTACGACGCACTTCTTCTACAAGAAATTCACAGCTCAGCTCTTTCAGCAATAACAAAAGCGGATTGTTGACGGCAATAATGAAACACAACAATGCTGAGTAAACAGATGACGTTTCCTAGGTAACAACAATGCATACAAGCTGAACATTGTTGTCAGTCCATATTTACAAATATATCCTACATAACCATCTTACACTTTTTTGCGGAATGACACTGACCCTTCCATATAGACGTATTTACGTCAATAAATACAAGCATGTAGAGCAGTACACATTCTTACATAATTTTCAGGGACCAACGCAATTTAAAATATTGTGACGTAGGTTGGTAATTACGACCTTGGTTGTCAACCCTTGATTTTTGGGGTCTGCTGCCTTGAATCCAATCTGACTCAAACTTGGTTCAATTCTATGAGACCACGATGTCCTCCAGCAATGATCAATTTAATCAAAACTAAAATGGAGAGGGTGGAGGGCAGTATCACAGATTTCTTAATAATTCTTATATAAGATAAGTACTTGTGATATTCTAAAACGTTTTTAACAGCACAAAATTATCTACTCTACAACACACTTCTCCTACATGCGATTCACAGCTCAGCTCTTTCCGCTCTGACCCGAAAGCCGATTGGGCAACGGCAGTAAACAAACACAACAATGCCAACAAACAGATAACTAAACTGTTTCTTAGGTAACGCAGGAGTTCGTATAGCATCTAAAGATGCAGACCAGGCAGCCTGGAAGTCAAGCGGCCCCTATCCTCCAGCATGAGTCCGCTGCACTCACAGCGACACGTCACAATATATTCAGTGTTCTCTTCTGTCTCTCAGAATCATCTTCACGTTAGAACAGAAAGAATTACTTGAAATTAAGTTTACTCACTTGTGCTCTATCAATTGCCTGCTTAAATTCTGTAGCAATTTCTTTGCTCTTGAATCTAATAGCAAACTTCTCCTCTTGGAGATGGCCTTCTGAATAGTCCGATGCAATCCACAGCCATGTCCTATCATCCTTTTCTCGCAATGTCAGCTCCGGATTCAGGAAGTGATTTAGACACAGCTTCAGTACCTGATACCTCCTCATCAATAGCCTGATGGTAAGAACAATTTGGTCTACTTATTATGTGCTCTTTGCATGACGTGAATGAAATGATTGCATACACAGCTGATCATGTCTGTTCACACGAGATAAATAATCAAAATAGTAACTTAATAATCGCTAGGTAGATTTGGATTAAATTTGGTGTGGACGTGCCATTGGAGACTACCCTAAAATTATACTTTCTGATTTTATATTATCGGTAATACCAACATGGCAGATGAATAAACTTGTGAGGTAGGGTTGATACTAGCACCACTTGCAATAGGAAAAACATAAAACTCTGGAGAAATGATTCTTTGTATAATATAAAATAATATGGTGGCTGCGTAAAAAAATACTACACCAGAATTCAATGCTATTACCCTGTGCATGTGAGGCAAGTATACAACCAGTGCTGATGAGTCACTAATAAATGGTACATCAAGACTAAGAGCATGTGATTTGTATAGTTTGAAACTAAAGTTGTTTAAGATAAATGACAATATTTTATTAACAAATCGGGATTTGCAAAGAATGCAAGTGTATTCCGGTATGGAATACACCCTTCCTGTCTTGTTCTGCCATCAAACAGGTACAACATAAATTACCAAACTTTATTAAGCAGACCTTTACTCCAAGGGGTGCTGTTGGACAATACTAACTCAAATGATTATGAAAGAAATGATAACACCTAATGGATAGCAAACAACACTTCAATTCTTACAAGGAATACTGAAAACTGCCAACGGACTAGACAGAACAACTGTATTAAAATAAGTCTTGCAGAAAAAACTGACAATATGAGTCCATTTAGTCCAATGATGTTTTTTTTGTGATGGGATATGCAGCAGTACAAAATTCTTTCATGAGAAAAGTACTACAAGACTATATCTTGCAGTTAACTGCAGCAGAAGCTGGTTTTCAAAATTGAGTTTCCTTGGATGGCTGAATTTGAAGCAGATTTCTTATTGCATAATGATCAAATGAATGCCAAATTGCTTATATGGGCTGTTGTTCTCAAAATACCAAACTAAATGAACACACTCACCTGACTTTATGAGTACTTCTATGCCTTAACACCTTAATATCTCCAACACCACGTTCCTTCCACTCTCCACCAGTAAAACGAAACAACTTAGCTCGATGAGTGTATAGGACATCTTCATTTTCTTCCCCAGTATGTACAGGTACCTTATCTGGCAGTGGAATTACAGGCTGCAACACAATTCAGTGAACACACAGTATTTTTTGTTCTGTAATAAAGCTGTATCGTTTACTTATGTTACATAGCAAGGCATGAGATGCAATAACAATCATGAGGCATGAAGAATCTGATTATAGATATAGTATACTTAAAGACACTGATTCAAACCAAGTAACTGTTCGAGCACAAGCAGACATGCTGCTGATGTGGACTCTCTTGATTTCAAGTAAACTACTGAACTCTGAAGGGTTGAGGGAAGAAAGACTGTAATATACCTGAAAGCAGATATGTTCTCCTTCATCTTCTTCAGGTTCACTGTCAGTTTCATCATTGTCAGCAGCCGTATCAGAACCAACACCACCGGGAGATTTTGGCAGCTTGGTAGGTGACCTTGGTCTGATTCCGCTGAAGTTGAATTCAAACTTTCCAGGACTCCCAAATGTGAATTTATGACCTAAAACATCGATAATAAGATAATTAAAATGGAAAAGAGTATAAACAAGTTTTCTGTAACATCAAAGAATACTTACTGCTCAATCGTATCTCAGTTCTAGCATATCATCTGTAGTACTGTCAAAAGCTTGCTAAACACTTTTACAATGAAATTTTGGACTTGAGTTGCTGTTTTTATAAAATATTTTCAATAAAATAGGGGTACAATCTACAGAATAAAGTATTATCTCATCCACAAAATAATGTAATTTTTTAAATTTCAAACATTCTTCCTGTAAATGATCCCATTTTCTCCAGCATGTTCACCCACATTTTAACACCAAAAAGTATAAATTTCTTTTACCCATATTGTCATGCATTTTATACATGTTACTGCAGGTGATAGCAATAGGGTTGCACCTGAAGTAAAAAGCGTGTTTTTCATTGTAACAAAACTGCTTCATACTACAGAAACTAAAAAAGAAAGAAAAAATTGTCAGTGGAACCACGGTTCCGGAGAATTTGACGTAAATACGTCTATACGGAAAGGAAGTTTATATATTGGCTTTATTCTAAATATTTCCTTTATGCATGCTTTACAATTGAGATAAGTTTGATTAAGACATTGCTTATTCAACTTGAATTAGTTACGCTTAAGATGGGTCTGTGGTAGCTGAATGTAATGTAATGTAATGTAAAGTAAAGTAAAGTAAAGTAAAGTAATGTAATGAAATGAAATGTAAGGTAAGGTAATGTTTTATAAGTAACAACAATGCCGAGTAAACAGATGACATTTCCTAGGTAACAAAAATGCTTGAATGCTTAACTTGAATTAGTTACGCTTAAGATTTGTCTGTGGTAGATGAATGTAATGTATTTTAATGTAATGTAACGTTTCCTATGTAACACAACAATGCCAAGTAAACAGATGACGTTTCTTAGGTAACAATAATGTTGAGTAAACAGATAACGTTTCGTAGGTTACAGTAATGTTGAGTAAACAGATGACATTTCGTAGGTAACAATAATGCCGAGTAAACAGACGATGTTCCCTAGGTAACCATTGTTACACTTTTTCATTCCCCTTTTTCGTTACACTTTTTTGCCGAATGACCCTTCCTTATAGACATATTTACGTCAAAAAAGATAGAGATTTTAACTGAAATGAAAATTCTCACAAATCTGTACAGAAAATTTAAAATACCAAATCTTCTGTCTTATTATATGGGTGCATCTATAGCAAGAATTGTCTATATATGGGTAAATACAGCATACATGCATAAAGTTCCTTCTCAAGAACATACAAGCTGAATGGGACATATGGCAATTTCCTAAGGGAAAGTGATTCTTATGTGAGGTGGTCTGCTTGCTGGTGATGAAACACAATGGAGAATACTAACTGCAAGTATCAGTTATATTTAATCACAAGTATTTTTCTGTCTTCCTATTGCACACTTCTCATATGATGAGGAAGTAGCATGTGAATAGCAAGGCAGTAACATAACTGAAACGTTAATGCACACCATTTCTGTGTTGCAAGAATCACATGGTAGAAAGTACGAGGCTTGTCCACAAAGTAAGTTTCCCTGGGGCCGTTTACAGAAACAAAACACAATTTCATGGAAATATTTATTGCAACAGATACAGCAAGTGTCCAGCTATTTTTCAACAATAGACCCGGCACAGCTGACGATGAATTTCGATCGGCGCTATGCTCTGTGCATTCAAAAACTTTATCACTGACCGCACTTCACAGTCGGCGGGAGCTGGAATAAGAACCTCCATCTTCAACAGCTGCAACGATGCTACTGTGAGAACGCGGGAAGTACCGTTAGTGCATGCGCCATGCTACGTCATTGCTCTATCACGTACGCACAGTCGCTTCACGCAATATAAGGTTTGCTAGCTGTGGGACGAGTGGGAAACTTACTTTGTGGACGCGCCTCGTATGAAGCTGCAGTAGAAAGAAAGAAAGAAGGAACATTGTGTTTGAATTTCAGGGCACTTATACTTGAGATGTTTGTAATGCTTGAATACATTCATATAAGTTTCTGGGATGCAAGGCTTATTCAAGAGTGTTGATTACTCAAAAGAGTATAGTAGTTTTAAGTTGTGGGAATTTTTGTATAAACACAAACATCTGTTAATCATGAAGCAATACCTATATTATGTTACTGTATCTTACCTGGTGCATCCTTGGATGGTGTAGAATCCTTTGTACCCTCTTCCTGACTACTACTACCAAAACTGAAGGTGGTGCTCCCTTCTGTATTTTCACCTGTAGAACTCCCAAACAGAAATGCTCCAGTTGTAGCTTTTGTCTCAAATGAGAATGGTTTAGCTGATGTGCTGTCTGCACCAAAAACACTTGTAACAGATGAAGCACTACTGGATGGCTGACCAAATGAGAATTCTCCATTTGTAGTGCTAGCATTAGAACTTGGAAACATAGACTGAGTAGTGATACTGTCTGTGTTAGAAGTTGCTGCGGTAGCAGTGGCAGTGGTTGCTATCACTGAGGTAGATGGTTTTGAAATGGGTATTCCAAACTTATACTGAACTGGTTCAGATGTACCACTTGTTGCAATACCAAATATGAAGTCACTTTGTCCAGTAGTAATTTGGGATGAAGTTCCAAAATTAAACTCTGTTCCTGAAGGGGGCATTCCAAACTTAAATGAAGGTTGGTGTGTTGCTTTATTAGGCTTTTCTTTCTGTGTTACTTTGTGGCCTGGTTTTGGAGCACTGCAACACAAGCACAATGTTTTATTACTATCATTGCGTTCATAGCATCCTTTGCACTCCCAAGAGCCAATTTTCGGTTTGAACAGTTCAGATAATGGTGTAATACTTGGATCTGATTTAGGAACAGCACCAGAACTAGGAGTCACACTACCTCCTGGTTTTTGGGACTCACAAGCCATACACAAGTCCACTGTATCTGGATTTCTGACATAGCAACATGCACATTCCCATGAACCTGGTTTGGCCTTGAAAAGCTCAGACAACGGTTCAGTTTCTGGTGCACTAGAGAGACTAATAGCTATTGAACTTTTTTTCTTGCACCATACACAAGTTTCACTGTCATTATCATTTTTACGAGAACATGACAGACATTCCCATGAATCAGCTGACTTAGAGAGCTCCAGAAGCTTTGGCTGTTGGTTGCTGCCATGGCAGACAGACAGAGCATTCTCCTTAAATTGTCTTGGTCTTGTCTTTTTACATGAAACACACTGGTTTACATCATAAGCATTAGGAAAAAGGCATTCCTTGCACTTCCATACTGTAGATTGTGGTAACTTTTCCTGCTGCATTGTTGACTTACTTGTATCTTTACTTTTCTCATCTATTTTCACCTGAAGTTCATCAAGGGTCTTTTTAAATGAAAGTGCCTGATCAACAGTCTTGAACCTAACAGCCAGAAGCTCTAGTTTCATTTCGCCTTCAGAATAATCTTGAGCATACCAAGTCCATGCCCGGTCAGAGGTAGCCAGGGCAGTAAACTTCATATCTACACTCACAAAATGGTTGCAACATACTTTAAAAACTTGTTCGCGACGCATAAGTAACCTAGCCTTACCCGTGGTAGGATTTTGCATTATCTTCATCTTCCCTATACCACGCTCCTTCCATTGCTTTCCTTCACTGTCGAAACGAAGCAATTTTGCTCTCTCTTCAAACAAAATATGTTCTCCTTCTTCACCTGTCTTCGGCTCCACAAGCTCTGGTAATGGAACTAGTGGCTTAAATTCTGCTGTTGGCACAAACTCTTCTGCACCACCCTCATTTTCATCAAGACTTTCAGACTTTGGGCTTCTCCCAAATACAGATTTTCCTGCTCCTTCCCAGCCCTTAAAATGTCCATCTTTCTTGAAGGCTGTCTCCTTATTAACTGCTGCCAATGCTGAGAATGTTAATTCAGAATGAGGTGAGTCAAACATCAATTTTGTGCCAGATATTTGAGTACTTCCAGTATTTGATTTTGGTGTACCTTGAACTGTATCTGATGTAGTACATGCAACACTGGCACCATGTTTTGGTAAAGCTGTGCGAGGCCTGCGTAACTGTGCAGGTTCAGACACTGACCTGCTGCCTGCAACTACTGGTGCCTCCATGGAGGTAGATACTTTAGGTGGGCTTGTAAAGCTAAAACTAGCAAACGGACTTGGTTTAGCTGCCTCCAGAGAACCTTTCTCTTGTTCTTTGGTAACATCTTTTGATGAAGCATGTGCTGCTGCAGACTTTGAATCTATTTTAAAAGTTGGAGGAGATGCAAATGTAAACCCACCTACAGTTATCTTATTAGATGATGATGTATCAAGAACTGGTGATGAAACTGAAGAAGTAACAACTTTCATTGCAATCTTTGAGGATGGTTGAGTAAGAGGTGGTGTAGAATCAGACACTGCAGTCTTTACTGGAGATGTCTCAGTAGCAGCAGCAATTACTTTGGCCCTGACAAAAGCATCTTTAAAATTGGCAGCTTCATCAGCTGTCTTGAATCTCAGACAAAGCTTCTCAAGGCGAACCTCCTCATCAGCAAAATCATGAGCCACCCACATCCAAGCACGATCATTCATTTTAGTCAACTCCATGTCAGATCTAATATTATGATTTGCACATATCTTCAGTACTTGTTCACGCCGCATTAAAATGCGCACTTTCCCTGTCTTTTGGTTGTGTAGAAGTTTCATGGTGCCCACACCACGTTCCTTCCATTCCTTATCTACATACCTATTGGTAAAACAAAGTTAATGTAGACAAGACTTTCAAATACACAAATTTGCTTTTTTTTGTGCTTCTCTATAAAAATACCTGGTATTTCATTATAATATTAAATTTAATTAATATTTCAATTAAACAAAGAAAGTTTAATTTCTTGAAAAACAATGATAAATTCAATAAACTGAGTTCCTTCCATTGGTCTACACTAGAGTTTACAAAAGTATTTATAAAGTAACAAACCGCTGACTGCATGACTAGAAAAAATTAGTGAAGTAACTATCTATCTATGCACAAAATAATAAAGATGATAAGTTTAATTAATTTATAATCAAATAATCCATGTGCATGTATTTACAACTATTCCAATCCAAAATATTATGACTATGACCCCTCACCTGAAGAGTTTTGCCCTACATTCAAAAATAACAGTTTCATCTTCTTCTCCAGTAGTTAGTTCTACTTCTGCTGGTAGGGGAATTACAGGTTGGAAGTCAGGACATGGATCATGATCAGCATCAGCACCTTCTCCATCTTCAACCCCTTCTGTAGAACCTGCTGACACTCTGCTAACATCTCCTATACAACCAGCCCCTACAACATTATGGGGGAGTAGACAGGATGTCAGCAAAAATTTAAACAAATACAAAGGCAGTGATTCACCTAAAACTATGTACCTTCTCTTTATACACTAAGTTTTATAATACATTTAAAATTTGAAATTGTGTTTGAGGTTAAAGTATACTAACTGCTACTTTTCATCCTACTCTAGCCAAACACATATTCATGATAGTTAAAACTTACAACCATCACTAAACTGTATTGAGAAAACTGAGCCAAATCCAGATTGGACAATTTAAAATCTCAAAAAAACATGCTTGAAAAACAATGTTTATATTATCTTTATAAATATGAATTCATCATCAAAGGCAAAAATAATGCATAGGGACACCTAGGACAATCAAAGGGCTAAGAAATTATTTTTAAATAAATTCTGTTTTTGGTTACACTACTAACAGAAGAAATGAACAACAAAGAAACCAGGATTGACAGCACATAACCTGTTTGTTTCTTTGAGTTGTAACACTGTGGAATCAGGTAGATATCAAGTTTCAAAGAAAATGGACATGTTTCTCCGCAACACTGGTACCTATATACAAGTCCACATGGCGTCACAATTGTAAAGAACAACACAATAATCTTCACCACCATAAGAAGCTCAAATCTCACATGTAACCACACATTATTACAATTTTCAGTCTCTCCATATGTTATGTAAACATATAACATACCATTTCAAAGTTTTACATGCTACCCAGCAAGTCCTGTGTACCCTGGTCCTTACAATTTAAATTTAATACAAAACCTTGGTTAACAGTCACCCTTGGTGGTCCAGTGGTAGCGTGCCTGCCACTGGACCCAAGGTTCGCATGTTCAAACATGGCCAAGGACGATGGATTTTTAAGGCTGATAAAAAACCATACCACAACTTCCTTCGGAAGGGAAGCACTAAAAGAGGCTAATATGACGAGTTGACTTGATCAACTGTCCGGAAAAGCCCAAAGGAAAGACAGAAGATCAAGTTAAACTCATTTATGAACACAATACCTGCAACATTATCCTTGCCAGCTGGACTCTCTTCTAATGCTGAATATACAGGTGATGGCACAGATGACAATAGCATTCCTGTAGAAACTGGAAGAACTGGACTAAGTGAAGCAGCACCCTTCTCTAGAATTGAGGCATGTGGTAAGTGTGCTTGAGGAGGCATAGATATTTGAAATGCATGTGGTACTGAAGACTGTGTAGTGGTGCTGGTTGAGGAAGTAGAATTAAATGCCTGGAAATACATAGTTCATTTTAAGTTTCCAAGGTTCGTATAAGCTGTGAAGGTGTAAACATGGTGTATCTACTAGTAGAATGTGTATTTATACTTAAACAGTGAAATCATGTGCTGCTATTCATAAACAATGTAACAAGTATTCTGACAAGTATCAAATAAGACAAAACACTGACTAGTAATAAAATCTGACAACACAGAAAAAGTGTTTACAGAACAGTATTAGAATTTTCTGACCTAATTCATTTCTCTGTTGAAAGAAAATTAAAAGGATTACCGGTTTTAACATGATGGGGCAACAGCCCACACCGCAAACAAAACTGCTTTACTATAAGTTCTTTAGTGGGCACACTGTTGGCCATGGTCTTTGGCCATAGTGATCCCCTGACCATACTGTGCTAGCCTTCTTTCTGTGTGGACTTCTCAAAAATTTTATTCACTAACACACAACCCAACCCAAAAAACAGAACACACTAAAGAGGGTGGATGCTCATCTTCAAGGTGGTGGTGGACATTTTCAGCATCTTCTATAGAGCTGTCCTGTAAGTCCTTCCTTATAAATAAAACTAAAAAACTCATTTATCTTGTTGAATTGATATTACCAAAACTTACAAATATTGTTGGAACTATAGTTATGTTTTATATGGAACACACTGTATGTTCTCATCTATTTTCTTGTATGTTTAGACTACCTTTTATAACTGTACCACACAGAAGATATAATAACTCCAGTTTCATATAACTGTCAACATCATTATTCTTATTAATTACAACTGATACATTGTGCCAATGAACTCTCATCCTGATTTAATATAATTTCAATGTCAGCAGAAATTATACTCCACAGAAATTCTATCATGTCTGAAGTTCATTCAAAAACTTCAAAGCAAAGTAACCCTCAGAAAAATGATGAACCACAAAAAATATCAAACCAGACTCACAGTCGTAGATGTAAAAGCTGACGTTGTACCCTGTAGACTGATATGATTTGTTGTAGACTGAGTCACAAGAGGAGAGCCCAACAAATGATGTGGTGGAATTGTAACACTTAATGTTGGCTGATTAACTGGGGCAGATGTTGGCAATGTGTCCGACGAAGTGATGACAACATTTACAGGTCCAACTGATTGCTGTTGATGTTGAGACGGTGGTGGTGGTGGCGGCGGCTGTGATACCAATGAGGACCCAGGGATTTTTGGATCATGTAAACAGCTTGGAGAATCAACTGGCCCACCAAGACGGGAAAACATCGAAGCAGATGCAGCCTGACAGAGACGACCAAAATATGTAATCAAACACACGTAAACCAGATAAAAGACACCATGTGTCAAACTTTCATAAAATGAACAAAGGATGAACATCATAAATCTATGCAATATTTTTCAGACAGTGCTGCTGTACAAGCGTAATTCAAATGAAAACAACCGTTTTGCTACAAAATGCCTGCAGAAATAACATTACTTCTCAACAATCCTCTCTTTCTCACTACAGCTTTTCCAAGCATTCACCAATGATGATTCCACTTTAAACAATTATTCAGTAACTCAACCAATTTTGCACTACAATTCACATCTTCACGAGTACAAAAGTGAATTCTTCTGAGTGCCATTGTTAAGGGTAAAAAACAATGAGTCAGTCAGTGCAAGGTTTGGTAAGTAAGTCAATTCCTTCTTTCAAGAGATGAAACAGGGCCAAGCATCCCTCTACTAAAGTAAACATGGTAAAAGTGTGATGATAAACATCTAGGTAGAGGAAAGTATGTAGTTAGGCATATAATAGTGAAGACAACTTGTCTCAATACATATGTTCATCTCCAAATACTAAGTAAAGTCTAACTCTTCCATTTTATTTAAAATATATATGTGCAACTGCAATCTTCCTATCGATCTCGAACCTTCACACCAATAACTGACGAACTTGCAACATACTTTCGTTAACCCTTTAATGACCAGGCTGTCACAACTGACTATCAAATCATATTTCTACAGAAAATTTCCCGAACAGTGTTGACATTTTAACACAAATTTTAAATGTAAAAGAAATTACATTAGTACAAAATAGTACCCAATGCAGTGACACCATAATAATGCATGTTGAATTTGTGGAATCAATAGCATACAGCAGTCTCATATCTCCACCCTGACATATTTACTTTAGAAACAAAACATTACTTCCTGACAAAAGCTTCCAAATACTACACAAAATGTAAGCTAACAATGGTTGAATCTACTGCTGTGATTACCTCCCCAAAATGTGAGCTGTGCTGTAGACACTTAACATTTTCATTCTGATGACTAGCCAGCTGAGCACAGAATTATAAAGACACAAACATTGGGAGGTCTGTGCTGTGACCATATTATGGTTAATATAAACATATTATCATCTTAAAGTTTTCAATCATAAAGATGTACATACTGCATAAATATCACATAGTGATAAACGTTTTGATCATCTCATACAAGAAATGCTGTAGGGTCAACAGAATTTTCTTAGTTTAGTAAGTGCAAGTAGTATATTTTACAATAACTGAGGTTGTGAAGATTCAACCTACCTGTGCAGGGATAACTGGACCAGCGGATCCAAAATTTGGTAATTGTTGACCCTCAGAGAAAGGTAGTGCCCCTTGCCCAGCATAATAACCAAGTGTAGGAGGGTACAGAAGACTAGCAGCAGCTGGATCAACTCCCCTGAAGAATCCACTGATGGCTGGTTGAGGCAGCAGAGGAGTTTGTGTGCCACTATGTGGTGCAGGATAAGGGCCTACACCAGAAGGTGTACCCAAGATACCAGACATGCCACGGTAATTAGTATAATTTGGAGGATATGGTGGGAATGCCTGATACGGTCCAAGTTGTGCTGCAGCTATATTCACATCTTCTGAATAATCTTCATCATCAAATACATACAGATCTTCCTCAGGGTCACAAACCTGAATTGTTAAAAATTAATCAAATCCATCAACATTTGGAATACTGCATTTAACACCATGGAAAATGTATCCTAAATAAGGAGGAATTTTAACAAATCAAAGAGGATTAAATGGATACTAAAATATATGAGTACTTAATGACTAGAACTGATTACGGAAAACACCAAAAAATAAAATTGTTTTTAATTACCATGCAGCTGCAATAAAATGAGTAAGCAACTTCATTATATGTGATGAAAGACAAAACATAACAGACATGGATGGGCCCAGATTGTTATTTCCTCATGTTAAATCATAAAAACCACTTAATAACAAAACCAAGAACAGAACTCACCTGCCACACCACGTTCAGAGTGAATTCTCATCAGACACCTATGTAAGTTATGAATTTTATTCTAAAGCTTTCTTGACAATGGTGTTTAGTATTGTTATATTCATTTTGGACTTTAAAATGAAAATTTAAATTGCATATTATGCACTGCATATCAAAAGATTTGCTGGATGCCCAACTCAGGTAGAAGGACTGACCTATTTCAGAGGACAGAATGGGCCAGAAGATCAAACCTTGTATAAAATGTTCATATATTCTAAACATGGCAACGGTACTATTACACAAAACAACAACTTAATGGTTATCTAAATGGGATCATACAGAAAAACATAGTTTAAAAGAAGAAAAAATTTTACTAAATGCCACTCACCTGGGACAAATCTGCTGCATTGATATTTGATTGGCCAAGATTCAAGGCCTGACCACGCCTCATTTTTACTGTGTCCTTGCGAAGTTCCTGAATTTGATTCTGCACATGACAAAATGCATTGAGAAGGAATGTTGAAAACACAATTCAGGAAAGAAATTCTAAGTTAAAAAAAATAGGAAACAAATGAGTTTGAAACCAGTATTTTAAATTAAAACCTGCACTTTTGGAAAAGAACAACATATCACACTGCAGCAATCATACAAGTGCTACAGGACAGGGAATAAAACAATTCATGTCATGTGAATGTTTACTGCCAAAATAAATTACTTTTGCTCATTAAAAACTATCTGTATGACAGCCATTTAGAAGACATATCAAAACTGCAACAAGTCTAACATTCCTAGGAGTGAACAATATACAAATTGCTAAACCTGACTTTCCCCATTCCATGTGACAACAAATGGCTGGAAAATCATTTCTGTATATACATAAAGGAACTGAAACTCTTCATAAGCAAAGTTACATCATCCAGATACCATTACTGGTTAGGATTTAACCACTACAATGCAAAATGCTTCTTCTGATCTACCTTATGTAAAAAAATCCCAAAACAAGGACTCTTCTTGGAAGAAACCTTGATTCACATATAAGTTTAACAGCTGTAACCTATAATTTCAATTGCTTGAATATTAAATTATAGAGCTAAATGTACCCAGAATAGGCACAACATAATAATAAAATGCTAGGAATTACTATGCCATATACATTGAACTAGAAGTGGGTAAAATGTGAATACTGTTGCTCCGGTCTATAAAATAACTTATACAATCAAAGAACTTATTTTATACCCAAGCATAAATGGCACAATGCCAATAATTAAAATAAACAAAGAAACAAATATCCATCCATTTCTCTAAAGTTCTGTTCTCCAAATAAAAGTGCTTACCTTTATTTCCTCCATAACCAACTTATTCTCCCTAAGACCATCTACCACAGCCTTGCCTTGTTCTAACAGTGCCTTGTTTTGTTCGAGAATTGTCTGTATGACTGTATCCTTGCTGTGTACAAGATGTCTGATCTGAGCATCAAGACGTTCTGGACTTGGGCGTGCTTCCTGAAATTATACATTACCTTGCTGGACTTTAACACACACAAAATTAGGCTACAATTGAAGACAATCACTCACACAACTAGTATCCTAGATATAGCGGCAATTTCCTTGGGGATAAAAGTGATCAGAGCACAAAGTTCTACAATTCACCCCCACCTAAATGTAATAACCTTTATCAGTCATGTGCCAAGAAATACATGCTGTCCAGATGGCCATGCACAGCAGTACCATACCAATGGACAATGGAATTAAGTTTAGCAAGCAGCCACACAGAACAGGGTTTTAAATCATCTATGCTTGTACAATAAATGTTAAAATTAATCTCCAAGACTCCCCTCTCAAATACACTACCTGATCAAAAGTATCCGGACACCTACGCAAAACTGTCCTCTAAGTGTCCCTAGGATTTACCGCCCAGTAGTGGACATTAATACGGGGTGGGCCCACCCTTGGCATTTATTACAGCTCTAACTCTGCGGGGGAGACTGTCTACCAGGTGTTGGAACGTCGCCGGGAGAATGGCCGACCATTCTTCCTGCAACGCTGTAGCAAGCGTAGTTAGTGATGTGGGTCGTTGGGGTCTGGCGCGCAGTCGCCTTTCTAGTTCATCCCAGAGGTGTTCAATAGGATTGAGATCGGGGCTCTGGGCTGGCCAGTCCATTTTCGGAATCTTATTGTCCACAAACCACTCACGAACAGACCCTGCTTTATGGCAGGGAGCATTGTCATGCTCCAACACACAGTTATCATCTCCGAACTGGTCTTCTACCGTAGACAACACGCAGCTGGTCAAAATGTCCTTATATCCTTCTGCCTTTAACATGCTCCATAGTATTACGAGAGGACCAAGTCCCTTCCATGAAAAACACCCCACACTGTCACCCCACCTCCGCCAAATTTCACTGTGGGCACTATACAGGCCGGCATGTAGCGTTCACCTAGCATTCGCCACACCCAAACCCTCCCATCGGACTGCCACATGGTATAGCGTGATTCATCACTCCAAATCACGCGTCTCCAGTCGTCCACAGCCCAGTGGCGGCGCTCTTTACACCACTGAAAGCTTCTTGCTTACTGATGTGGCAACCAATAACCATACCACGTTTGAAGTCACTGAGCTCCCTTGCTCCATCCATTCTGTCGGTATCGCGTAGCACTGAACAACATTGAGCCCTCTGCCTCCTTTTATAGCAGCAGCGGCGGTCGTAGTGATATCTAGGCTCGAGTTTACGTTTACAGAGGGGTGTCCGGATACTTTTGATCAGACAGTGTATATTCATAAGAATTTCATAAGAAAAATTCAGCAGCCATTTCTCACCCAAAAGTCTCCTGATTAACCACTAGATGGCTCTGGCAGTGAAATCAGGATTGAGTAGAAATTGTGAGAGTCAGTGGGCTTGTCACTCACTACTTCACGCACGACCATGACCAAGAAACCTCCGAAAAGGAGGCGGCGAAAACCCACAACAGGGTTGTAGTGCCAAGAAACAACAACGTTTGGTACTCTAGTGGTATTCATCCCAAGTGATAACAGAACACAGACAGCTGTGCACTGGCTAATCTCTTGGTTGTGTGTGTACCATGAAAGTCTAGTAATGGAAGTGAAAAGAATGGAGTGCTAGCAATACACACAACAGAAAATTCAGATGATGACAGTTAAAGGGTAAGGACATCAAAGGTGAAGTCCAAGTGCATTTTTCATTTTAATAACTCCTATACTCATGGCATGGACTACACTTATCAGCTTTTTAGATAATGAAACCACTTCAAACTATTCTGGTAATCCACACACTACAGACACTGACAATTCTTCAGTGAAAGTTATTGCACATAACACCATAACTGCAAAGACTACTAAAGATGTAAAATTGTTACTTTAATAAAAATAAAGTTGTCAGTGGAACCACGGTTCCGGAGAATTTGACGTAAATACGTCTATAAGGAAAGGAAGTTTATATATTGGCTTTATTCTAAATATTTCCTTTATACATGCTTTACAATTGAGATAAATTTGATTAAGACATTGCTTAATCAACTTGAATTAGTTACGCTTAAGATGGGTCTGTGGTAGCTGAATGTAATGTAAGGTAAGATAAGGTATTGTAAGGTAAGGTAATGTAAGGTAAGGTAAGGTAATGTAATGTAATGTAAGGTAATGCAATGAAATGTTTTATAGGTAACAACAATGCCCAGTAAACAGATGACGTTTCCTAGGTAACAAAATTGTAATGTAACGTTTCCTAGGTAACCATTATTGTCGATTTGTTGATAAACAGATGAAGTTTCCTAGGTAACAATAATGCCTAGTAAATTGACGTTTGCTAGGTAACAATAATGCCGAGTAAACAATTGACGTTTCCAAGGTAACAACAATGCAGTTACACTTTTTCCTTTCAATTTTTGCCGAATGACACTGACCCTAAAATATAGACATATTTACGTCAATAAATAAAATACAATGGAAAAGGGAAGAACAAATATTTTTGTGCTGTGTGGAATTCTTCATCCTAAAGGCACAGTGCAACATCCTCAGAGTCTATTACAAGCAGCGAAAAAAATTGTCAGACAACTGCTGCCCCCTTCTGCTCAGCTTCATGCTCTGCAATTTAATTATGGCCTGCTTTTAACAAAAGTCTGGTTTGTAATAAAACAAGAATGAGTACTATATTTATATCCATTACTTACAATTATACAGATATAACAATTTAATTCCAGGTTTTGCTGTAACTACATCTTGAAAGTGATTACACTGAAATATTTAAACTAGACCTACCACCACCTTGTAAAGATAGCATTTATTTCAATAAACTTCAATAAGCAACATGAGCACATTTAATCATCACCTTGAGACTTACAAATTTATAATTCCACTTACAGTTCTCCGTGGATGATCAGGAGCTATGTCAGAGCTGTCTAGTTTGTGTACATTGCTCCTGTACGGGGTAGAACTATGCTTCTGACCACCTGCACTGCTCCTGTGACGTGGTGTGAGATGAACCAATGAACTGTGCTGGAGATACAAGTTGCTACTGTTACCAAGTCCCATAAATGAGTTATTCAGGTTATCACCACCAGAAGGAACTGATGACACACTGTCATCGGACATGCCATCACATTCATTTCGGTTCACTGCTAACAAACAGAACACAACTTAACAGCAGGACCATACAGTTTGTATTCAGAATTACTGTTGATCCATAGGTCATTTGTCTATTAATGGGTTAAAATGACTTGACAGCAACACTATAAATTGCAGTAATGGTATCTGCATAGGCTGATGGGAGAATACAGACATGACAACTTTACACATTTCTGTGGAATGACAGTAATGTGTGTTTAACAGCAAACATATAACACGTCAGAGTCCACTATACAGTTTCACATGAAATATGTAATTTGAAGATTTAAGCATTCAGATCAATGGTAGCCTTAACTCATTACTGGCAATATGGAAAATGTAGGATAGTGTTAGTCATTATAATGCATAGATAACAGGAGTAACAAAGTATATCCTAAAAATATGCACAGGCTGTCAATTAAAATATTTAAAAAACACTGAACATGGATTACATGTACTTATTGTTCATTTAAAACCAATCAGTAGCTCAGACTAACTGCCACTGAAGGACAATGAATAAATAATAAATTGAAACAATCATGGCCTAATTTCAGGAGCAATCATTGCCTGCAGAGAATGAGGAAAACCACAAAAAAAAGTCATATATGGACTCGAGGCTGAGATTTGAACCCAGACCTCTCGAACATAGTACACAGCTACAAATGAGGTTGTCCCTCTGAACAGTATTATGACTTAACATACTAAGATGTGTGTTATCATTCCACATTGTTGTTCATTCAGCAAGCTATTATATGACTTTTGTAAATGTAAAATACTTCATACATATCAAATTTAAATGCTTCACGTACAACTCCTATTACCATTTTGTTATCAACTTTAATGAATAAAAATAACAGTTGTAACATTTTCTAAAACAATATTTCATTATGCCCAGGTTTTCTTGAACATTACCATTTGAAAGGGAAAACTTACCATCACCTATTAACATTACATCCGGATCAATACGACTCAGCTGACTTTCAATTTCTTCTATGTGACTATTCAGTTCAGCATTTAATGGATGTTTTGCATCTACTCCTGGACTCCGTAGTCTGTCCAGAGTGAGATAATAGCACTCCCTAGCCTTTGTAAGTAGGATAATATGTTGCGAACGCATCTCACTAGTGATCATTTCACGACGTTGATCTTCTAACTCTTCAGCTGCCAATTTCTTGTAGATTGTAGCCTGCAAAATACCAAGTGGTTACAAATTACATTTCTTGGATAAATGAAGATAGTTTTACCACATTAAAGTACATCATGCTGTCACATCTATCTTTCATTAGTCAGTTAATATACTGATGTAGCTTAAACTAGTCGTCAAAGAAGGGATTCATCATCTTATACAGTGAAACCTCTATCCGTCGTTCCCGGAACTATCGTTTTCCCGGATGCATCGTCCGTTTTGTTCGGTCCCGAATACATCCCATATAAAATAATGTTACATTTTCCCGCTTCTATCGTTCCTCGAACTATCGTTTTATCGCATCGATCGTTCAAAAATCTTAGTCCCGGCCCACAATTTTCCCGCAATGATCGTTCCTGAGAATTTAAAATGCTGGGTTTAGAGATAAATTAATACCGAAACACGCACAATGTTTTTGGAATA